TCTCTGGGCCGTGAATTTTACTGCAACTGTAAAATTTCAAGTCTAAAAATAAGCACAAGCTCTAAATAATAATAATAGCACACAGCATTTATAATCTTATGTGGCACAAGAATGTATAGAAGCCGCAGCACGATAGTTTTCACCCATTTTCGGTGCGCGTGGGTGAAACGCACTGGGAAAAACTGGAATGATCAAGTAATGATGATCATAATCAAGGCTGTAATTACAATTTGGAGTTTGGGTTTACGGCTTAAACTAATGCCACGCCCAAAGATTCGACTCGTAAGCCTGGTTTCTTCTGCAAATATATTTGAATTTTCAAGGAAATGGCGATTTTGTCAAATTTAGAGCTATAACAGAAGCTAGAAATTTGTGCAATATTATTTTCCAATAGCAACAAAAAAATATCCTCTGAGACTGGCATCAGGAACTAAACTCTCTTACGTACGGTTCATGGCAAATAAAATATGTGATGGTTTCAGGTCAAAGCAGTTTGAAATAATTGCAGAAGAAAAAATCTCAGCTTAAGCTGACCAAATCGAGCACACAACGACAATTAGTGGATCAATAAATGTACTGCCTAAACTGAGCTATACCCTTACATGGGCATAGGAGAACGTATGCCTGTATGTATGTATGTGTATATGTATGTGCCGCCTTAAATGACATCCTTGCCGAGCAAAACGATTTCTAATGGCGCCTCCACTTAGATTAGGTCAATTGGTATCTGCTGTGACCTCTCGATGCGATTTGGCCTGGCTACAAAAAAAATCTTTCATTTTACATACACAAGCACACATACATGCACATACATGAGGGCATATATATGGGCATGTGCATAGTCTACATATCTGGTCAGAAAGCCAAAGGCGAAAACTTTTTGATGGTCATTGATGGTGATACGTCCGGCGTTCAACTCTGAGGTAAACGGAAGGGCATGCCAGGAGCAGTTGCGGGTGTATGTGTGTCTCTGGGTGTGTGTGAGTGTGAGGGGCGGGGGGAGATGCGGATATTCCCACACTGGCTACCGGGCAGTAAAACTGCTAACAAGCTGGCAGCGAGCAACGTTGACAGCCCCATGGGGGCATTTGGTCGGCTCGGTTAGGTTTAAGTGTTTTATGAACTTGTTTCAATGAAGTCATACAAAGTGCGTGTGCGTGCCACACACTATTGTGTGCGTCAGTGTGTGTGTGAGTGTGTGTATGTATATGATTGTACTTGCAGGTGACATGTGGCTACAGAAGCCATGTCTACGCTTAACCTGACCTGCCGTGGTCTGACTCGACCCGTCTGTGTCTGGGGCATTGAAGCTTTTAATTTGATTTTCGTTCAAGTGCGGTTTTCCTACCTATCCAAAGTCCTTGCTCTGTGTGTGTGTGTGTGTGTGTGTGTATGTGTGTGAGTGTGTTCGCACTAAGTTCGGAACTCAATTCGGCTTTGTTGGTTGCATTGAACTTGAGCTGTTGCTGTTTCTGCTTCTGCTTCTGCTTCTGACCAGCCGCACGTTGCGCTCTAATGAGCGAACCAACACACATCTTAATTACAGCTGGCCCAAAGTTATATAAAAGCATAAGGGAAAACCCGAGCACTCGTTTAAAATACGATCTGCATGAAGCTCTAGTTATATCGAGGGCTAGTCAGTACGTCAGTCTGTAAGTACGTCTGTCTGTCTGCCTTTCAGGCTAAACAACTAGATCTGAGAACGACTAGAAACAGCAAAATCGACATGTGGATTATCATATTCCAAATGAAGTATACTTTTCTGGTAGCTTCTATCCACCACAGAAACATAGCCTTTCTATGCGATTTTCAAAAATTCTTCTAAGACATTTTGAGCAGGGTTTTAACAGTTAGGGTTTTAACAGTGTTCTTAGTTTTGTATCCTTTCGTAAAGTAAATCTTTTAAATCGTTATTTCAATTGTAACTTAAACTTGCACTTTCTCTGTATTACTCTCAGTCTTATTCAATTTTATTCTTTGACAGATTTTGTCTAATAACTTCTTTCTTTCACTTACACAATCTTTCTCTATCCTCATCTTCATTCATTTCTTTCTATCCCTTCTTGCTCTTATTTTCTCTATCTCTCTAACTCACTGACATTATATCGCCCTTTTAAATATCGCTCTTCTATGCGATTTTCAAAAGTTCACGGCCACTGTAAATGCTTTCCAGTGATATTTGCATACATAAAACAAATATTTAAAATGTTGGAAAATATTCTAGGCCGATTTAATAAATATGTTATTAAATCATTTTCCCTAATCTGTATGTTAATTTGTATTTATTCAATTATAAAATGTTTGTTGTTCACTTTTTATTATCGACACGACAAATGTGCAGACCAGCCAAGCGTGACAGTGGATAAGCAAAATAAAGGAACGACAACAAAAATTAAAATAAATAAAACATGGCAAACAAGTAGAACCCACAAGGACTTACAAATTCACGACCAGTTGCAAAGTAGCTCAACATGCGGCTGCCTCGCCAGGTGTCGCCCACCTGGAGGCATCGAGGGCATTGGCCCACACTTGGCATCGTTGGACAGGCGCAGCTTCAGTACGCCAAACAACCGCTGGAGAAGTCCGCATCGGTAGTCAGCTGCCGCAGCATGCTGGCACGCAATACGGATGTATTTTGTCGCAACACTAGCCTACATGGACCTAAGTACATCAACAGTCGCTAGAAAGAACGGTTGCCTGCGACATGCCGAAGATTAAATATCCTTATAGATATTTGGCTTAGTAATACTTTTCTACAAGCCCCTTTGGGAGTCAAATGATATAGAGTAATTGAATTTGATACGGATATAGTATTAAGAGAAAAGCGAACCTCGTAATAGCTGAGTTTTTTTTTCAAAATATCCTCATAAATATAAAAGACTCCCATTCAAAAATTCATTTTTGGACCTATTATGCCTAGAGGGCTATATGATATAGTAGACTAATGTTGGTAGGATATTTTGCTTATAATTGTTTGGTCAGAATATTTTTAAAATAAAAAAGGTGTTCGTAGAAAAACTTGGTTTTGGACCGATTCTTACTAAGAAGCTATATGGTATAGTGGTTTATACGATGTTGATAAGATTTTATCTATTTGTTGGAAACATGGTAAAACAAGTATGTGCTGGGTTTGACATCATGAAAAACACAAAACCGTTTTAATGCCAGAACTCAATTTTTGACCAATCCTTCTTATGGCAGCTATATGATATAGTAGTTCGATCTGGCGGTTGGGCTGCATCCGCTTGTTGATACTACACAATACGACATAAAATCTTAATGGATTGCGAGAAGTCTTCTTCACAAATGTAAAATAAAAAACAATGCAAATAATATAATGCAGATTGACGCCCTGGTCAAATGGAACACGACGCCGATGACAGTGGGCATCGATCTGGAGCTGTCGTTTATAGCAAACGACCCACTTCCAATGTTAACCATATGCAATCCCAACCAGAAGCTGGGAGCAGCTTACCCAAAATGCAGCCGAATATGTGGTAACTATTCGAGCTAGTCCTGTCAAAGAGGAGCCGTATCATTGCAGATCTCACAGCAATGCGGCGACATGGTCATTGGATGTCGCTTTGGCGCCGTTCCAGCCGATTGTCACCGACGAGGATCTGTGCTGTATGAAGTTAGAAGCAAGTATGTAGGATCCAACTGAAAGGGGAAAACAATCGAAGCAACCCCGTGGCGAGCAGGCCCTAAATATATCATTCAAAAATCTATGGTATACCAAATCCGAAGGCATATAGCCTCAGAGATCTCAGAGAGCATAAGAGCTAGTGACTTCAAATTGTGAAACTAGCTACTGCTATTGTTTTACGTCATCGATAACTTGATCCAGCGACACCAGATTTGGTATATGAACTCGGCTCCACGCGGAGCTGGGTTACAGCCGCAGGTTGAAGCAGCCGCATAATCATTTTTACCATCCGCGCGCATCCCTCGGCACCGGCGAGTCGCTGGGGATGCGTGGAGAGACAATTGGCTTTTGCATCGAGGCCTGTCTGGACAATTGCGAGCCCAGTTGCTTTCATCTCACATTCAATGCGATCCCTTATTCCACCAAAATCATCGTAGGATGGCTTTAAAATCGTTCAGTCCACTGGCGCAACTTTAACCAGGCCTATGTGGAGCACAATATTGCCGTGATCAATTTGTACTACAAGGAGGAAACATTTCGTGCCGTCAGACAGACCGAATTCATCGGCATATTGCACTATTTTTGTGTGTAGCAAGACAATGAGAGAAAAATGTACGTTCTTCTCGGCGTGCCGACAACGAAATACCCTCGCACACAGTTCAACCATATAATTATTTTTTAAAAATCACATCTGTTTTTCGTAAACCTCAATTTTTGACTGACTGTGCCTATTAGAGTACTTGATGTAGCTGTAGAAGATTACGAGTTACGAGTGAGGATTTCAAGCAATATAGCAAAACTAGTTTAATACCACGCAGGATATAGAAAAATCTACAAATGTCGAGTTTCCACGTTAGAAATGTCCTAACAAAATCAGAATAGCCTCTGCAAGGGTATACTAAACCAGACAAAAAAACAAACACACATACACGCAGAGAGAAGTGAATTTTCCTCCATTTTCCTCCATTTTCCTTTGCATTCACAGTTAACGTTGGTGGTTTAATGGGCTTGTTTCTGGGCTTCAGCTTTCTCTCGATATCCGAGTGCGTCTACTTTGCCCTCATACGGTCGTGCCACATTTGCGCACAGTTTCGACAACGGAGGTCAGTGTCGACCTTAGAGCTGCCCTGGGGTGGACCAGCGTCGCCTCCTAGCAAGCTTCCAGCTGTGGTTCCAATTAAAAGAGCAAAAGCACACGTAAGTACCATGTTGCCGCAGGAGCAGTGGCAGCGACACAGGCAGCGGCATCATCTGGGGCATCTTGCGCGCATTTCACCAGGCAACTAGTTCAAAACGGAACTGGGCCAGCAATACAGTCCTTCTTAACAGTATACACATAACAGGCACATACATTTTTATTATATTAATTTAATTATATATATTTTGTTTTACTCTAAATTATATCCCAGTATTTGGTAACAATATCATTTTGTGGCAGAGCAAAATTTGATGGCCGCTCGTAGCCCAGCGTAAAGTGATTCACTTCCTTTTTCACCCCATCGTCAAATATCTGGCAAGTTGGACAAATAGTATAAATTAGTTTCCAAAAAAAATGCTTAAAATTTGATATGCTTAAGAAAAAAGTTTAAATTTGCTGACCAATATGAAAAAGGCTATTCAATTTATGCACTTCATATATTATAATAATAAAATAAATAGTTGTTATTTTTATGCTTGGTTGTGTTCAGTATCATCCATTTGAGTTGGTAAATATATTTTAAATAAATTTAATTAAGCAAGAACTTCATCTTGAAACATAATATCATCAAATGGCTCAGAATTAAAAACTTGTTTAAAACAATTAGAGTTTGCACTTTCAAAAATTTAACCAAAAGTATAAAAAATTACTTGAAATAATTCCTTTATATTTTGCTAGCGCCTATAACCCGGCTTTGCGTGGCCAACATATTTTCATCAAATTTTACTCATCACTTTTCCAGCAATTCGCAACAATGAGATATTTAAATATATAATATTTAAATTATAATTAACATAGATAATTGGTTTAGAGCCGATGATTATCCAAGGTTTTCCATCCAGTTAACTCCGGTGGGCTGGAACTCCCAAAATCCTTACCTAAATGTAGAATATACAACTTTTCCTCATATATCACCCCTGTGGAATGGATTTTCACAAATAGAATTTAGCAAACGTCTTGAAAAACACGTTTTAGCTAAATCGGATGGCCCACAAAAAATTTCACACAAGCTTTTTCCACCAAATTTTCACAGTTGCAGGCGGAATTTCTAGAAAACTCCATTTTAGCTTGTACACAATAAACAATCGGTCGATATATAAAATAAAAAAAATTATCATTTTGACAACAGTGCAAACCTAAAGCCATACAAAGTCCACCTATAAATTGTTGAATGCTTTTCCGTACAAAAATACCCATCCTATGAATAAATCTTTAGTTTTGTAAACCTATCTGTGTTCTAAAACACTCAAGAGTAACCAAAATTGAAATGTGGCATAAAATTGAGCTGATGTTAAAATTGTCACTTACGTCACATTCCTTCATTTCCAGCAGCGAAGATAGATCAAATTCAACTACGGGCAAACTTTTGGATACAAAACGTGCAGCATTGGCCACTTCGGGCACCGCGTGCTTCTGCAGCAATGACATCTCCCAGAGGGAGCTTTTTAGGGCGCCCGCTTTGACCGGATCCAGTTCCGTTTCATCGTAGGGATCGGATATCTCCACAGCTGCAAATGCAATACAATCTAAATGACATCCTGCACGTTTTAACATATTTTCATATTGTTTACCGCTTTCGGCACCCGTTGCACAAATGAGACGCTGCAAGCCTGTGTGCCGCAGCAGTAGATTGCATATGAACCGTATCATTATAATAGCATCCTCTGTTGGACTTTTCAGTGCGAGTCTGGCCAAACGCTTAACGAAAGCGGCCACCAGATTTTCCGGCAAATGCGTTGAGGTTAAAAATATATCGGCCAGATAAAAGAGGCGAGCTTTGTACTTGTTGTAGAACATTCGTGGATAGAACATATTATAGAGCTTCTGATAGACATCTGGATACGTAATATTCTGCTGTTGCATCAGCGTAAAGATTCCTTGGAGAGCAAGCAGGGCAATAGGTCCATCTGCAAAAACATAATCGAAATTTTCAATTCAAATAAATTATACTGTCTCTAAACATATACGTTGTATGCGTTCGCTTTAGTTTTTTCGTACAATCTTACCAAACTGATGCAGTGAATCCATCAGAAAATCTGTTAACAATATGGGATCCTGCAAATGCGGCAGTATACGTTCCAAAAGCACAACAAGCACCTGTCGATGTACCTTCTCATCCACGCCACTACACGATGCAATTATGCCCTTCCAAACCGCATTCAAATGTTTGCGTGTTTGGTTGTATTCAAAGTTCGGATGTTTGTCAGTGCCTGGGCCAATGTGATACTCCTTGGCATTCAGCACAGTCTTTCCCAAGTCAAGCAAATTGATGATTGCCAAATAGTTGAGTGCGATATTTGGTGAGTCCGCAAAACTGTTTGGTGCCAGTTCCGGCAACAATTGATATGTCATCTGCAGCACGTCCAGGCAACGGGCATATTTCTGGAATGCCGCCACAGCCGTTGGTGGCGTTGTCTCCGAATTGACCAGCGTCTCTAGCACACTGCGCAGGCGATCACTGGGCCAGGCATTGGAGTAAATATACTTTGATTCGCTGGATATAAGCTGCATGCACACTTTGAGCGCAACGCCAGATTCCTCCTTGGAGGCGCTGCCCAATCTAACCAGCATAAAGGACCACGCTTTGTTATAGAGTGTTTGACATTTGGCATTGGGCTGGTTAGCCTTTCCCTTGGACTTTGTCTTATCCTGTTGCTTTTCGGCGGATAAAATGCATTTGCGCTTTAGAAGATTCTTAAAGATAACCTCAAGCACGTGCATTACCCCAATGGCATTGCACTCAGGTTCTTCCTGAAATTTGCCATAAACATTTATAGGTATATTGCAAACATATTACTATCTGATTAACATACCAAGAGGTAAACAATTTCGCGCAGCACTTTTGTATCGACATTGCTGGAATTTAGGAAGGCATTGGCTTTTTGCTGTAGTTCGGCCGGCACGTTCACACGTTTGGCAGACACTTCCACATCCGCTTTATGGGCTGACTTTTTCGCTAATGGTTGTTTCATTGCACTACAGCAATATGTTAATGGTACTATTCACAATTAAATACAGCTAACAAAATTAAATACAGCTATCAGAAGTAAAACGTGCGGCGTGCAGTTTAAGAGCTGCCAACTTGTTTCACGATTTATCATCCGTTTGGCCATAATTAGTACATTTAAATGTTGCTTAGCACATGTGTTCATATGTATGTATATGCGTTGAAATGTTCATTTAAAGTTTTTGTAATTTGTGCACAATTGTTAGTTAGCCAACATGAATGCCAGCACAGATTTTAAGCCCGTTTTGACACGCGCCGCGCTTGCATTGAAGAAAACTCAGGATGACTCGGAATTTAAGGCTCTGGTATTTCAAGAACCGCAAGCTGCACTTCCAAATAACAAACAAGAGAAAACAACAAATGATACTGTAAAAGATGGCAAAACCACAGACGGTGGCAAGTTTAAGAAAGGAGAAGACAACGAATTTGACATCAAAAAAGCACGCCAAGAAGTGCTCAACTTTGCCATTGCCAATCAGCGGACCATCAAAAACAAACGAAAAATGGAAATATTTCAGCTGATCAAACTTGGCGCCAAGCCACCGAAGAAGGCCTATAAAAACTACAAGGAACTCAAGGCGGAACGCAAGCGTCTAAAGGACACGCGCGAGGAGCGCAAGAAGTTCCATCAATTGGGCAAGAATCAAACTGGTGCGGCCAGTGTCAAGTGCAACAATAAACCTAAACAAAAGCGGCGTGCGCCAGTTGCCAATATAGGCCAGCACTATGGCAAAGCGGAGCCCAAATTTAAGAAGCGAAATTAAACTAGCCTAAACTTAATCATATTTGCTTTTCAATGGGTTGGTGGGTAATTGTTTAATGCTATAAACAACATAATACACACGAATCGAATTTTGCGTATGTATGTATGTGTGCTAGATAAGTGTTGGCGGACGTTTCGGAATAAATGGCAACCCCACGGCCAGCCTAGGGCTGCCAATCTTTTGCAAACCATATGTTCTTGTTGTTTTTTTATTTTGCACTTGATATTTGGTCAGTCGTGCGATTACGTGAATTCTGTTTGAAGTAATATTTGTGTTCGATTTGTCATAAAAATGAACGCAGCCCCACGCGCCGCACTTAACCAGCTACTACGACGAGGCTACAGCCAGGCAAAAAAAAGCGCAGGTGCTCCAAGGCCCCCACCCAGCAGCAGCAAAGTCGGCGCCGCACCTAGTGCAGCTCCCGTTAGCAATGTTACGGGCCTGAGCAGCGCTTGTGTGAAGCCCACATCGACACCAGTTGGTCCCGGAGCCTCGCCAACTAGCGGCTACAAAGTTCCCGAATATTTTTGTTTCAATCGGTTCAGTTTTGCTGAGGCAGAGGTCGAAATGGCCAAATACCGCTGCCCACAGCCATCTGCATTGAAGTAGTAGAATAATGTTAACGTGCGATCAGCCATAAAAAGAAATGTAATTATTACATATATGTATAATAAACGATAATACGAAAATATATGCACAGGAATAGAACAAAACAATCCACATGATATGTGTACATATATGCGTGCATACAGACAAACATACAGTATACATATGCATATATACATATAAATATGTATATACGCATTTGTGTGTATATTGGACATGCTACAAGGGCATGCCCACCTGTTAACCAAAGTTAGCAGCGCGCTACATTTTAGAGCCAGTTGGCAGCCCTATTTTGCTCATATATTTTTGCACTCGCTCTCTCCTCTTTTCACTTCTATTTCTCTTCACAATTTCATGGCGAGTGGCAGTGCTGTGCTGTTCTGGTTAATCGACATCGAAAATATTGAGCGCGGGAAGTGATATTACCATAGTTTTGCATCCAATTTGTCATTGCAAAAAGCAGATCCAAGTAAAATATATTTTTTTATTGCATATGTGTTATAAATTATTTGTGTTAAACAGCAACAAAAACTAAGATAAAAACAAACTATACGATTTGTTGCAAGGCGCAAGCCACGGGGTAGCAGCTCTGTTTGTGCGTGTATGTGTGGTACAGTTGGGTAGAAAAACATTGCTGGCCTGGCAGCGCCGCACAAATTTATGAGTTCCACAGCAAATGTAAAGGCAAGCAAAGCGAGCAACAGAACTTTACAAAACAAAACAAAGTGGCATTATGTTATTGCTGGCTGCTATCACGTAGATCAAGCTAAATAATTAAACTGCAAATAAATGCAAATGAAAATGAATGGCGTTGCCAATTTGCTGATATTATTCACAAACAGGGACGTCTTGTCGAACGCAATCGAACGTAGTGCAGTGAAAGTGTGCGAAACGGAAATCACAAAGTCGTTTATGAAAAGACAGAATCGAAAAATGTAAAACCATTTAAATGTAAGTGCGATACGAAAGGAAAATGCAGACACACATAATGAAATCATTAAATTGAATATTAAAATGAAACTTATATGCACCACAAACTAAACATACGTACATAGTTATATATTAATATTAGATATATATATGCGTATGTACATACAACTGGCGCGCAAAAATCAGCGTAGTTGCTAATAGAGCACCAAAAATGACCAAAATGGGCGCCAGAGTTGTCGCGCAATTAGAATAGTGAGGAGCACGTGACGTGTGATTTCAACACGAAATAAGCACGAGAAGCTAAAACACAAACAAAAATAGTAAATATATTTATTATATACAAAATCAATTTTGGCTACACTTTCATGTATCTTGATATAAATACATTTATATTATTAAAGCTTGAAAAGAAATAATAGAAAAATGTACATATGTGTGCATACATGATGATTTTGAATTTGAATGCATTCACGCAGCAATTAGACGCTCATCTCTAATTAACACAGCCCGTGTTGCCACTACGCTATATTTTAGGTTTTGTTTTGTTTTTTATTTTTGTATTTGCGATTACAAGTAGTTTACACCATTCTTAATCAATTGCAGTGACTACTGAAAGATGCGAGCTGGAAAAAAAACGGAAGCTGAGATAGGAAAGACTCGACCGTGCATTGTATACATAAAAAATCTAAAGGAATCTGAAGCCACCGAAATAATCAACGCGGCAACATCCAGTAAACCAACAAAAAAAGGGCGCATCGCCGCAGCTAAACAACCGACCAGGCGAACACATATAGAAAACGAGTTGGAGCAGGAACGAGATAAACCGCGAGCGACGCGCACATCTCGACGGGCCACGACCATTGCAAACGTCGAGCTGTTGCCGAAGAACAAACAGACCGCCGTTGTGGGCGCAACTCCAATTGCTACACGCACTCGCAACGCCAAAGGCGAACCAACGACCGTACCAAGGGCAGCTGCGAAGACAACAACAAAACAGCAGGTCAAGGCGGTGGCAACACCATTGAGCAAGCGGCGCAACACAGCGCTAATATTACCCGTGGCCGGGACGTGCACACCGCTTAGCAAGCGGCGCGACACGACGACCCGAGATATCGTTAGTGAACCAAACAAAACAAAAATGTACAAACAGTCGAAAATTGCCGCAACGGCAGTGGCAACGCCGCCGCCAACGATTGCGGCTAGCCGCTCGCGTCGCTCCATCAAGCCGAATCCGAAATACGCCAGCGATGACATGGTAACGCCAAAGTATGTGGCTGCCCTGGCCAGCGAGAGTACCAACAAACGGTCGGTTAAACACCTATTCGCCAATGACGATGACGAGGATGAGGATATGCACGATCTGATTGAGGAAGATAACGATGATGAGCTGGCCGATGCGGCATTTAATCCACAGCTGCACAAGTCCGATGACGATGATGACATCAGTGAGCAGGACTTTGAGCTGCAATTGCGACGCGAGAAGGTGCCACCAAAGCGCGGACGTGGACGTCCACCGAAATCAGCCAGTGCAGCAACAGCCTCTAGCAATACCCCATCCCAAGCCGGACGGGGATCCACCCAAACCGGCCGCGGCGGTGTCACGCATTTGCAGCAGCTGCGTCGCACAATCGCGCCCAATTTGGCGCGATCCCACATGAAAGTGATGGCAACTCCAACGGTGGGCAACAAACGCAAGCTAGAGGATGCCAATGATACGCCCATAGCACGCAAACGTATGGCCACTGAAGCTGGCGGCGTTGCCCGCTCGGCGCCAGCTATCAATGGCAGCACTTCTGTGACCAAAGCGTCTGCCATTAGTCTGGCCAGCAATCAGGCCAAGCCAAAGGTCGTCGTGGGCAGCAGCAGCAGCAGTAGTAACAACAACAACAGCAGTGGCAGTGGCAGTGGCCTGCGTATGGTGCAAGCAACGGCAGCCAAACCACGGCCAGCATCCAACTTTAAGCTGAGCACGGCCACAGCGACAACACGGAACGCTGGCGGTGCTGCAGTGCCGCGTACGGGTATTGTAGGCCGTCCGCCCAGCTCGACAAATGCACTCAAAGTGCAAAAGGCGGCAACGGCCGTGAGTGCAGCGGCAGCATCTATGAAATCAACAGAAAATGACGATGTGCCCACGTTCACAATCGTTAACATTGATGACATTATAAATCAGGACGATGTGCTTATTACGCGCTCCTCCAACAGCAATAGCGGCGGCAAAAAATTGTTGACCGCAGCGCGCAACAACAACAACAGCTCGCGCACAAATCAATCCACGTCCTCCCCCACAGTAGCAATCGGCAGCAGCAGGAACAGCAGCAGCACGCCAGGCAATAATTTAACCGCAAGCTCAACCAACAAGCGGCTCAAAGCAGCAGCATCAACAACAGGAACAGGAACAGGAACAGCAACAACAACTGCATCAGCAGGAACGACCACCAACAAGCACACGTTGGCGCTCAATCATAACAAACAGACGTCGCTGGTCGTCTCTGTGGGTCAAACGAAACCGCGACCGCGCATCCTGAATGCCGAAATGGGTAAAAAGACGCAGCCAATGATGAAGCCGCTGATGAGCATGGGCAAGGAGCTCTGCCCCATGACCGATGGCGGTGATACCGAGGATGAGGATATATCCAATGAGCTGGCTGAGGATGACATGCACGCATCACCACCTCCAGCAACAACCAATCAGGCGCGCGTGGTGCGACGTGTGCAGACTGCTAAATGGTTGCCCTATCGACGCCATGTGCTA